TACTCAGAGAAGACTTTATACTGATGAATAAGGTGACCTAGTTTGATGAAGTTTGGAATAGAATTAGTAAAGTTATTGTGCACACAATAACAATTATTAACGATAAAGACAACGACGACAATGACGACGTCGGACAGAAATCTTTCCCTTAATATACCTTTCTCTTCCATCTTTGATGTTAGGGCAAGGTAAAAACTAGTTATTCTTGTTTTCCCAAGATGTATAATGCAATTTTGTTGTTAGAATAATATAGATGCAAACAGAAATTCAAATGGGAACCTTGTCAATCTGGTGAACTTTTACTGATCAAGGGTCAGGCAGCTATCCAACCAAAGACATGAATTCACCGATCGGGTCACTCACGGCATCCATACATGCTACACGTAGCAACGAACTTTCAACCTTTCCATGGTGCCAAATTCAAAGAAATGTTCCTGCTTATATGCATTGTTGAAGCATGTTTTTTTTCTTCCCACATGCCAGTTTAAGTTGAAATCACCGCCGGTTTTTTGAAAAATTCCTGTGACAATAATTTAGGGGCAATGTTTTGCATAAAAAGTTAGAGCAAGAATTGAAAGGATAGACATTTAATTGTTATTTATTGTTGTTGTTTTTTTTGTTTTTTGAACACTCAAATTAATATAATACATTTAATAATGAGTTTTTGAAAATAAATTGGGTGCATCTTCCAAAATATGACCCATTATCAAAAAAATCCCAGATAATGTTTTAGATAAATATGGTATAATTATTTCACATACGTGCTTATACATGCATCATCTCTGTTTTCTTTCATAAACCAAATTGACAATGATGCATGTTAAATTATTGACCATCGATAGTCATAAATTATAAGGTAGAAAAATATAGATTTTGTGAGTCGGATGAGATATCAGGTTTGCATAACAGTCTCTGAATAAGGATAATTTTAAACCATACATTTATCTTCAAACATCTATACTATACACACTTTGTAACATCAGTGTTTATGTAACTGTTTACTTTATTGAAGTACCTGTGAAATGCATAACAACAGTACACATTTAGTTTGGTTTTTGGTTCCTGTTGTCCTAAAATGGACATTTGTGAAAAAAAAGTAAAAGGAGAAAGCCATGCAAGTGCCATGCACTGAATACATTAAAGCGTTATTGAATCAAGACAATTTTAGTATTATAGTAAACGGAACTATGCATGGAGCCTGAATTTTAATATATCCTGTACCGACTTTTAATAGAAAAGTATTACTGAAAACGAAGAAATGCAGCACGCAAATTAAATTTAAATTCAATCCAATCCATTTGCACCTGGAAATCTTTTATCATAATTGTTGGGGTGGGCAACAGTTATGATTAAATTTGTTATATTCAATTGGAAATGAACACAACAAGCTTGTGATCTTACCCATCAAATATGATACACAGTCAAGTGATGGACCAATTAAAAATGTGCAATCACATATCAGGTCATTGAATGCATCTATATATGGGACCAATGAACTCATGGTTCAACTTTTTAAATGATGACTATGCTTGTTTAAAGGCAATCAATCTTCAGCATTTTCTCATGTTTACATGAAAGCATAGCCTCATCTTTATATTGTAAATAAAATGATTCAATTCATGTTTTGGTGAAATTTTTATCAAGTCTAATGCATACATACCCCCCGTACTCCCGGTGTATTGCAATCATAGAGTCGCAATTATGAACAGACAACTCCGTACGAGACAACCCCATAATGCAAGAGAACTCAACTATCTAATTTTGCAACAGGTTTTTTTACTCTATTTCTCTGATTGTTTTCCATGTATATACTGTAGAATACTTTATTTTCGATTGGAATTTATTTTAATTTTATTTGGAATGCTTCAGTGAAAATAAAATCCAAAAGTTTCTATATTTTACATTCAACTCATCTAAAAAAGTGAAAATAAACTCCATACAAAACACCCAAAAAGTCTTTTCAGCGAAAATTATTTTCAGCTAAAATAAAGTATTTTACAGTATATTAACTAGAAAGCAAACAAGTAGAAATATGCAATTGTAAACCACGATGACAGTTTGCAAAATTAATATACCAGTATTATTACATGAACTCAGTTTAAATAACCGTACTATACTAATAGTAAAGCTAAAGTTTCTCAGCCGAAATTAGATTTTTTAAAAGTTAAATGATGAGAAATTTGAAGTAGAAGCTTTTTTTCACTAAAATATTTAATTTGTGTTGTGATATATAAACTATGATAAACATTCATATATCGAAAGTGATTTTGGATGAGTGGAGTTTCATGCACATGCACTTATACAATCGAACACAATTGTGTTCTTGCTCGGTTCATGTTAAAAAATTGAATTATTTCCCATGACTAATGCCCAGTCACTTCTGATAACAAAGTTTGATGTCATCATTATTTATTATATATACCGATGTAAACTGAGAACAGACTTCTCAAGGTAGAGTGAACCAAGTGAGTATTGGTCACCAAATCCAGGAGGAGAATAACGCACTGGAGAGAAGCACTTGTAGCCAAGGTATTTATTGGTACATTGCTAGGCCTGGAAGATGTTCCATAAAATGTATCAATATCATTATGCAAATAACTAAACTAAACATCATAGCCTCAAATCATCACAACTGGCAAATACCAATTCAGTTTTTAATGTCAAAACTAAATTTTAGAAATGTGTGGGTGCTTGAGTAGAAAGCTTCGAGTTCATGAAAAGTGATTCAATCTAGCCATATGCCAGAGGTTCATGAGGATGGCTTGGTGTGTGGGAAAAATGACCTTATATTTACGGTGTGTGGGAAAAAGGATCCAATCAAGTCATATGTTAGAGGTGCGTGTAAATGGCTTGGTGTGTGGGAAAAATGTAAATTGTTGAATGCTTGAATTATGAGGTAGTGGGTGGGCGGGATAGCTTGAAGACTGGTTCAGGTCGCTTTCTGAATGAGGAATGACTATGCTAAGCCGAAGCTTGACATTTGCATGGCAAGTAGGAATAGGTAAATGACCGCCACAAGCAAGTACAAGCTTAGAATATGCATGTGAATGTAAATAGCACGGGCAAGGCATGCACGAGATGGAAGGTCACATGTGTATGAATGGCGGCTCAAGTTGATGTCATGTGCGAGGGATTAGGACTAAGGTATTTTGCACATGTCATGTGTTAGGGATTAAGACTAAGGCGTCATTGTCCAGCATTAACACTGACTTCACTGATGCATAATCATGCTGTTTATAATAATCTAGTCTAGTCTGATATAGTCCAGACTGATCTAATACAATCTACCGTATTTGTCTTCAGTTAAGCGCCACCTTCAATTAGGCGCCAGTGCCACAAAAACTTTGTATTTTACACCTCAATTAAGCGCCAGACAAAGTTGAAATTTTGGCACGTAATGATCGTGAATTGGGCGCCGGCGGATCGACTACCGGTTCGTAGCGATGGACGCGATCGCGGAAGTCCCTCGCTGTTACTGTACGAATGGCTTTTATGTAAAAAAAATTGGTTTTGTTTCTAACAATTTTTAAGAAATCGGTCTATAATCTCTTGAAACATGTCTTTTTAGTCTACTGTAGAAAATATCAGCGTGGTTTTTAATTTCGCAGTAAGTCCATAAAAA